TTGCCTCAAGCTATGTTCAAAATAAAGCAGTTTGAATTTAGTCATCTTGGCTAATGTTCATTTGTTCTAGGACCCAATCATTTGTCTTTTTAAGCAGTTCATGGTGTCAGTGAGAGCCAGTGTGATGTAGTGGCTGGGTCATTGGACTTTAAATCTGGAGACCAGGGTCTGAATCCCCACTCAACCATGAAAACCCATAGAATCATAGAATCATACAGTTGGGAGAGACCTCATGGGCCATCCAGTCCAACCTCCTGCCAAGAAGCAGGAAAATTTATTCAAAGCACCTCCGACAGATGGCTATCCAGCCTCTGTTGAAGATTAACCCTTTTGTTGTTGTTCATTCAGTCATTTCTGACTCTTCATGACTTCATGGACCAGCCCACGCCAAAGCTCCTTGTCAGCCATCACCACCCTCAGCTCCTTCAAGGTCAATCCAGTCACTTCAAGGATGCCATCCATCCATCTTGCCCTTGGTCAGCCCCTTTTCCTTTTTCCTTCCATTTTCCCCAGCATAATTGTCTTCTCTAAGCTTTCCTTTCTTCTCATGATGTGACCAAAGATTAACCCTAGGCAAGTCATATATTCTCAGTCCCAAAATACTCTTTGATAAGTTTGCCTAGAGGTTGCCTTAAGCTGGAAACAACTTGAAGGCACATAGCAACATATGGTATCCATGGAAATTTTCTCCAGCACCACATTTCAAATGAATTCTCTTTCTGTCATCTCTCCTCACTGTCCAGCTTTCACACCCATACTGAGAAGGAGTTATTATTGCACAGAAGGAGACAATGGTAAACCACTCTTGAATGATGTTATCTTGAGACCCCTATGAGGAAAGTGAGGTGACCACAACATGAATGTTAGTGGGAAGCCTCCACACTGTTCATGGGATAATCATGGAGTTTTCTGTGGTGGGGAGTTTTGTAGTTGCCCAATGTCACCCAGTGGATTTCATGGCCAATTGTGGAATGAAATCCTGGTCTCCAGACTTCAACCACTATGCCACATTGGATTTTATCATTTTCTCAAGACATCAATATGGCTTGTATCAGCCCTGACTGCTATTGTGGCACTAGTTCTGGAATTTTCTGGAATAGGGTCTTCTTGCTGTGCAGGTGGCCTAAAAGGATGCCAATGTTTCCTCTGCCATTTTAATGAATTGCCCATGCATGTGCAGAATGTTTACATTATTCACGGTTCATAAACGGTGATGGCATCAGGAGTAAAGTGAGGCAAGACCCAGCAAAGATTGAGGAATTGTGGATGGGAAATAAGGGAGAATGTAAAATCCCAGGCCCTTGGAAAGAAGTCCAAGGATTTGCTTTATCCACCACCATGTGCACAGTCTATCACAGAGGCTTAAACGTATGAGAAATCAAGAGGAAGATTCTTTTGAATGAAGTATATTTCTTCTTTGATGTTTTTGCAAAACAGTATGAATTATTGTTGGAAACTAGGCTGAAGTGCCAGGCAAGCAGTCAGTGAGCTTTAGCTTGGATTTCCTTCTTACCACCCAATGTCTTTTTGGCATGCAAATAAACGAGGGAGGACTGTTTGGTAAACAAGCAAGAAAGGAATAGAGAAAATTGCTTCAGGCTGAGGGGGTGGGGGATTGATCACCCAGAATCTGTACTCATTGGATTTTGCAGAAGATACTGCCTTGCTAAAGATCTCTGATCGTGTCCTCTTAAAGCATGAATACATGCTAGTCCTTTTTTTATATTGTCAGCAGAGAAGATTCAGTGCAAAATTTGATTTGAACTCCATTATCTTTTCTACTAGAATATTCTTATGAGTATGTTTTTGTACTACTGCCAGTTGACTGCAAGGCCACAAAGGGCAATGCAGTCTAATCAACCAAAGTTGACTTGCACTAATACCATGTTAATGAAATGTCAGTAGGAAACAATGGTGAATCAATGCACACAGAAGCATCCTTTTTGGGGATATTGCCCCATTGGTACCTTGAATTCATGCCTTAATCAATCTGTGTGACAGCCCTCAAAGGAGTCGGCAGTGACACACCCCTTTGCTTTAAAAAACAGGTATGGTCACTTAGCATAAAATAAATTGCTCATACGATTCTCCCTTCTTTTAAAAAAAATGTCATTATAATTATTGAATATTATCCTAACAAAATATGGTAAGTAGCATGGTACAGTCCAGGAGCTATAATAGCACATGCATTTACAACGAATAGCCAGAGAACATCCTATTTTGAAAAGGAGCCAGAGTTCAGTGGCAGAGTATGTGCTTTTTAAGCACAAATAAATAAATAAATAACCCCTCAGATTTAAACCCTGGAATATTGGGTTAAAAATAGAATAATGTAAGAGAAAGATCTCCAACACAGTCTTTGAAGAGCTGCTTCCAGTCAGTGCTGATAATGCTGGATTAAATAGGTGAATAGAATGGTAAGTGGCAGCATCCATGTCAATGAGGCAGTGACTCTACATTAGAGCTGTGCTTTCATGGTCCGTATAAAATAAAAACTCTCCTTGAACCTGCTGTAAGTGGTCCACATGACATATGGCTGGTTCCACAGTAGGACTACTGTTTCCAGCTCTAAATTTAGCACAAGAAGGACTGCAAGTTACTCTGGAGCAAGAAAGCTCTGGAGTGATATGTGGACAGGTGGATTGAATTAGACTGGGGCAATCTAATGTGCACACATCAAGAAGACCCTCTACTGTATCACTGATTCAAAGAAGCTGCCAGGCAGAACTTGTTGGTGAAGTCTCTTCTGGTAGTCACATGGATGGATGCCATATTGTGACCTCACCAGAAGTGATGTCAAGAAGGCTCTGCCAGGAAACGGCTTTTGGCTGGTGAGGCAGCAATGGTGGCAGCCTCCAGGAACAGGGTACCAGTAATGATGTGCTAACTGCTTATTTATTTATCGTGTCAGGAGCAAACCAAACGGTTGTGTGTATGTATGTGTGTGTTTTATAGATATTTATATCTCACACACAATGGTGTTCTATTAAATGTCTTTTGACCAGTATCTGGCCGCTTTGAGTGCCTATAAGAAGGTCCTCCATTGTGTATGTGGCAGGGCTCAGGTTGCATTGTAGTAGGTGGTCTGTGGTTTGCTCTTTTCCACACTCACATGTCATGGATTCCACTTTGTAGCCCCATTTCTTAAGGTTGGCTCTGCATCTCATGGTGCCAGAGCACAACCTGTTCAGTGCCTTCCAAGTCACCAAGTTTTCTGTGTGCCCAGGAGGGAGTCCCTCATTTGGTGTCAGCCATTGATTGAGGTTCTGGGTTTTAGCCTGCCACTTTTGGACTCTTACTTGCTAAGGTATTCCAGCGAGTGTCTCTGTAGATCTTAGAACTGCTAACTGGTATAGATGCGGCCTAGGTTTTAAAGGTGCTATCCAAGGTACTGAACCCTACTCCCCCAAAGAGGTCCAACACATTGGATATCTCCTTTATAGTTTGAACTAAAACTCAGAGTGGACTCATTTTGCCACCAGTCTATTACCTGTCTGTCCTGGTATAAGGCAGATTCCCATGTTTATGATTCTACAAACATTTACTTGTATTAAATGCTACCAAATGGCAATCAAAACTTTCACCTATGTTTGTTAATATGTTTTTCCTGACTCAATACATGTCTCTGAAACAAAGAAACATAAATATATTATCCTGCACTCTTTTATGCATAACACAACAGTATATCTTTATAGGGGTTAGAATTCAAATTTGTTGATATCATACATTGAAATCCAGAGCTTAGAAATACAGAGCATGATCTATGATAGCTGAGACCATGCTGCATAGACCATGCTGACCAAGGGAATTCCATGGCCTATGGCCCACAAAAGTAACTCTTCCAAACGTTACTTAATTGTACTTACTATCTCAGGTTCACAGCACATCATCACTGATGCTCTCCTGGAGGCCAGCACCACCACTGCCTCACTAACTTAATTAATTAATTAATTACTGTATTTATATACCACCTCTCTCACACCTGGGGGAGGGGGAATCAAGGTGGTTTACAACATAATAATGGCAAAAATGCAATGCTGATATACAGTAAAACAAAGAAATCAAAATAACTAATTACTACATATAGCTATGACTAAAAATAATTAAAACTATTAAAAATAAGACATAAATAAAATTTAAATATTCAGTCAAAGCACTAAAACATCCTAATATAAATATTAAAATTGCATGATCCAAAAATTGTACACCATAATCAATCTGATTGTTATTGAACATGTACCCTAATTATTCTTTTTACTGCATTATTATTACTAGCCTACTTGCTGTCCACTTACCAAATATGGTTGTTCAGTAGGATGGGAACATTTGAAAAATTGGCCGTAATATAGTTATTCCTGACAGCCAGCATGATAGCTGTCCATTTGGGCATTGAACTAGGCTCTGTAGACCAGGGTGCGAATCCCCACTCAGTCATGGAAACCTAGTGAGTGATCTTGGACAAGTCACACAGAGGTTGAAAATAGATCAAAATCATGGTGGGCTGTGGAAGAGTAGAAAGGCGTATGCTGGAGGATAGGCGGTGATCCGACTTGGCTTATAAGCCTGAGATTCTATATTATTATTATAAGGATTGGCTGGCTTGTTATACTAATAAACATGCAACTGATAATCTGACCATTAGCATGGTGATTTATGAAAGCGGTATTTCTGAAGCAATGTAAACATGGAAGGAAATATATAAAGCTGTCAGCTTGTGCATTGACAAAGCTTCACCAGCTCCTGCCTCTACTGAAGGCAACATAGCTAATGCCTCTTGTAGTAATTAATTCAAGCCATTAAGTGTAAGTCAAAGTTCATTTCAGTTCATTCGTCTTCCTCACACTTTGGTAAAAATGGTGTATAAAAACAAACATGGGCTTCATTTGTGCTTTGCCATGAAAAAAACCTATGATTTGATAGATGTTAATGCTCAGTACTTCTGCTGCTAATCTGCTAGCACAGCATTAGATCTCTGCTTTTTGAGAAAGACTCATGTGAACTTTTTGCATATACACAAAGCAAGCAAGAAAATATTTTAAAATGACAAAATGTTTCAACTATGGGCAACCAGGAACTATTAAATTCAAAGAGGAAGGCTTCAAAGGGCATCAGAACAGATGTCTCTGTACAATTATACCTTGAGTTAAGAGTTTAATTCACTTCACGAATGAGCTCTTAACTCAAATCATTATTATCTCAAAGCAAATTTTCCTATTGAAATGCATTGAAATGCTATTAATCCATTCTGGTCCCTTGAAACAATGTACTTTATAAATAACAAATAATGTATAAATGCACATTGACATGGAACACCAAAAAAAAGGAACCCCTGGTGGCGCAGTGCGTTAAACCCCTGTGCCGGCAGGACTGAAGACTGACAGGTTGCAGGTTCGAATCCGGGGAGAGGCAGATGAGCTCCCTATATCAACTCCAGGTCCTCATGCGGGGACATGAGAGAAGCCTCCCACAAGGATGATAAAAACATCAAATCGTCTGGGCATCCCCTGGGCAACGTCCTTGCAGATGGCCAATTCTTTCACACCAGAAGTAACTTGCAGTTTCTCAAGTCGTTCCTGACATAACAAAAAAAAAAAAAGAAAAAAAAAGAAAAAGAAAGATGAACTTTAAAATCATAGAAGCACAAAGTTGTGGCAAGGAAGCACATCTGAGGCAACAAAATGTGTGTTGGTCAGTGCAACAGCAAGGCAAAACCTGGGAATTCACATAGAACAATAAAAAAGAAAGATCTACTTTGAAATGGACAAAATTGTGGCAAAGAAGTACAAAGCACAAAGTGAAGAGAAAGTAGCATCATTTTCGTCATACCGCACTAATTCCAGCCTCTGTCCCTCTCTTGCTGTTCCTCCCTGTCTGTCTTCATGAAGACAAACATATCAGGAATAAAAACCATACAAAATCAACTAACCCAACGTTCCTCAAAGTGGACAAGAGCAAAGAAGACAGCAACCCCCAAAGTGGACAGAAGCATGAGGCATGGAGACTGCTCCCTTGATGCCCTAAAGCCCTTTATTCTCATGCTGGCACTCCTTCTGGTGCTAGCACTCCCTCTGACTCTAGCTCTTAACTCAAAATGCTGCTTATATGTCAAAGAAAAACTCAGCCTGAGGGACCGCTCTTAACTCAAAACACTCTTAAGTTTGAGAGACTCTTAAGTCAAGGTTCCACTGTATATCAGTTGCTCAGGAAGATGAGCAAGAATGTATTTTTGTTCTCATGTCCTGTTTGTGGACTTACTGGAGACAAATGCTGTTTACTCTAGGAAACAAAAGTGCTAGATAGGACTTTGACCACATCCAGCATGACTCTTCTAAATGTTGATCATGTTTAGAATCTCTGTGTCCTTTACCAAAGAATTGTCTACTAAATCAAGGTTTGGGAGATAAAATGCTCCTACTCCAGTCATGTCATCCCATCTTTAGTTTGCCCTTCTGGCTAACGTTTTGTCTCTCACTTCCTCAGAAGGGTAGAGTGACCTCATATTAGCACAAACCTTCCACTATCCACTGAGGAAAAAGTGGGTTTAGTACAAATTGAGACTCACCTCTTCCAGTATGGCAAATACGACCTCCCTGCAGCTCTGCCACTACTGTGGGAGCTTGTTATGCTTCTGTTGGATCGGATTCCCTTCCTTTTGTTATTTGAGCTCCCTTTGAGAATTACTGCTGCCTAGAGGAGTAACATGACATTCCCTTTCTTTAATCCAGTCAGAGGGACCTTGCTTTCTTACACAGACTAGTTGGCCCACACTAATTTTAGTTCAGCAGCTGCAAAGTGAGCATCCGTGGCTAGAAATGTAGATTTGGACTCTGATCGTGTATTTCAATATGAATGGAGGTAATGAAAGGTATGATTACCTTTCTAGAAGCTTTTCCAATGTCTTATCTTTAAGGCATCATTCTTATCATACAAAATCTGGTGCAACCTATCAAATCAGCTCAAGGCATGATCAACGAATAATGTTTATTCTAATGTAGAATGGAACAGAAAGATCTTCTATGAGTACAGCACCAGGGCAATGATTCCAGCTCTTCCAGTTACACTGGAAAATTAAAAAATACCATGTACTAGGTCTTCCCCTGACATTAAGTCCAGTCATGTCAGACTCTGGGGGTTGGTGTTCATCTCAATTTCTAAGCCGAAGAGCCAGCGTTGTCCGTAGACACCTCCAAGGTTATGTGGATGGCATGGCTGCAAGGAGCACCATTACCTTCCCGTTGGAGAGGTACCTATTGCTCTACTCACATTTGCATGTTTTTTAAATTCTAGGTTGACAGAAGCTGGGGCTAAAAGCAGGAGCTCACGCTGCTCCTGGATTCGAACCTGCAACCTTTCGGTCAGCAAGTTCAGCAGCTCAGCACTTTAACCCACTGTGCCACTGGGGACTCCATGCACTACTACAATGAACTACTACCCTTATATCCCCAGTTGAAACATTCATGAACTTACCATGGCAACAGAACACTGTGGATAATAGTGAAATCTATTGAAATGAATGTCCTTCTCTGGAGTTACTATAGAATCATGTCTGGCCATGGGAGCATGATTGTTCTATAGATAAATGTGAGGAAATTGTTTTCAGCCTATGAGTACTTTGGAGTCCTATGGAAGTTGCAATACTCAAGAAAATTCCTTCATGTCTAGCTATGGGGACATATCCAAACATTGCTGTGACCCCTCTCACTCCCCACCCGGCATGAACTGCTCATAGGGGTGTGAGAGTAGAATGACTGTGGTAAGCCTGGGGGCAGTTGCAAGGTGGAATATGAGCACCAAAATCCACACCGACTGAAAATAAGCGTACACCCATTTATGATTAATGTACACATGCATATGTCCTTAACAAAATGATGGACTTCACCCATTCCTGCATAGTGAAATCCTTGGAGCTCCTCAACACTTTTCTAAGTCAGATTGCATCTTTCTGTGTGCATTGGGGCAGTTGTTCACTAATCATCTATTGAACAACTGCATTGACTTGAAGTGAACCTGTTGACCCACACAAAGGGCAGGAATGAATGTGAATGTGATGTAACTGTAAGCCATTACACATGTTACATTGTTGTCACAGTGTACTTTTCAAGCAGTAAGATTAGCTCAGAAATACGTATTGGTAGTTCTGACTCTGAGCATTTAGATATCTGAGATTGAGGAAACCTGATTAACAAATTCTTTGTTCTCTAATCTGTTTTTATATATTTTCCTTTGAGATCAAATCTTTTATATTGACAAAAAACTTGGTATGTTAGACATGTCTTTTAGACATTGCATAGAATGTCCTTGCATAAATGACTCTGTATAGAATCCCTGACATGAGGCTGGCCTTCAGCCTATGTATTTTTAGCTGCTATTGAAATATAATCTGGGTACATGATGTTTAAGTGATTGTGCAGTATGTTCCTTGATGTCTCTGTGATGCTGCAAACAAAATCTGAAAAGAAAACATTAAAAACAGTGATGGGAAATATTTGGCCATGTACAAGTGTTACAAACAGGAGTTATATGTGTTGTTCAAACGTATTTTGAGCAAAGTGGCATTAAAATACAATAAAAACATATTCCTGATAGGACTTATTCAAAACAGAGCATGTTCAAATCATATAGACAACTGTTCAAGAGAAATGTGATTCGTTTTGCCATTAATTATGTGGAAATGGAGCAATTGTGTTTTCCTCTTCATTGTCATCACTTTGATATGTCTTTAAGATCTCATTTATGAAGGCAAATCTGGTGAGCAGTTTTGCACCATTGGGCAATATGAAGCATTATTGATTTGATTGTGGAGTCAAAATGAAGAATTGAAAGTCCAAGTGAACAAAAGTGGAATGGTGCAAAAAATGAACATTTTGGGGGTGGAGAATACTTTCAGTTCCACAACTTTCATAACAAAAACATTTTGCCATGGAAATTTAGTTGAACCATGCCCAGAGATTGGGACATAAGTAGAAAAGTTAATATATTTAACTAGCAATAAGCTTTAAAAATTAGTTCAGCTGTATTTATGTTAGAAATTATACCTTTTCCAAAATCCAGAAAAATAAAAAAAAATCCATAACACTTCTGGCTCCAAGCATTTTGGATAAGGGATACCCAACCTGTTCTTGCTCCTGGATGATGGACGTGACAAATGGAGTCAGCTGCAAACAGGATTTCTGCCTCAAACATCTACCTCATGGCAAATGTGTTAACTGAGAGTGTCTAGAGGTCATGAGAGGACACCTCTCTGTTTACATGGGCTTATGAAGAAATGTATTTATTTTCTTTAATCATCCTGACAAGAAGCAATTTCCACTGAACGATACCACAAGACAGGAAACAGATTAATTCAGTGTTTGCTAATTGCCTCCTTTTCTCATATTAGCATTATTGTGCTGCATTTTTATGCTTAGCTATCTAGGACTAAGCCTGATTGGACATAATGGGACTTGCCTTTAAGTAGACACATCTAAATGTTTTATGTTTATTCACAGTTGGATCCTACCCCGCTGTGAAAGAGCACATTGTGAGTTACACTCGGCTCAGAGAGGGAGAGAGAAAACGAGAGAGAGAGCTGAGGTCTGTACATGCCACAGAGTCAGCTTCAGGGCTAACTTGGGATTTGAATCCAAGCCTTCTAATTCATGTCCAGCACATTTACATGTTTGTTTGGAATGTATAGTATTCCAGGCTCAAGTAACTCAAAGAAGAAAATATTGTGTTAGATTTGCTGCCCTAAATATATTTTAATCATGAAGACAAGGCAGAGTAAGCTAGGAATTCAATACCCCCTAGAGATTGTTAAAAAAACCATTAGGACAAGGCAGGGAATGCTGGAAGTTCAATGTACTCCACCCCAATTGTGAATATAATATAGCTGTCCCTGAGCAGTGAGAGCAGAGAATAGGGATACTTGTATGTTTAGAATTATACCCATAGATCATGGTGGGAGTCAGATTGAGGCGAAGCTGTCAGAAAATTATTATGCTTCTTTCCCAACCTATGGTTAAGGGGAACTATTTCTTTTTCAACAATTCAGAAGTGGATTGAAGGAGGGATTGCAATTTATGATGTGTAGCTTTACCCCATATTTGTTTCTGGCATAAACACAACAAGGTCAGCCCTGGTTCGACCACGGAGTGATGTCAGAGGATGTTGAGATTCCTAGAGGAAACCCATCAATCAATTCTCCTAATAATTAAATCCACAAAAGTTAAACTTACAAATGTAGAGGGCTGACTGTATTGTGTACTGTATTGTGTACCTTGAAGCAATTTCATCTCATGCTATCTTCTGAGTCTTTGAAATGGAGATGCTGGATATTGAACCAAGTGCTAGGTAAGAGGAACATTAGTTAGTAGAAGCATGGTGGAAACTTGGGAGGATTACCAATATATGGTCAAGTCATTCCATAAAGTTTGAGGAATGGTGATTCTGAACTGACTAGTTGATGTAGAAACAATTTTAATAGTGTAATGATGATTTCTGAAGTGTTGGGGCACAACATGACATCCTCCATAGCCATATATTCAGAGAGAGTTCAGAAACAGCAGGATGTAGGCTGTTCCTTAAAAAAACA